TCTCTCTCTCTCTCTCTCTCTCTCTCTCTCTCTCTACTGCCCGCGATATCGCCAACAGCTCAAAACGGAAAGAAAGTAACGAGATCGGTATTACAAACGTTCAAATTTTGTCTCGTCGCGACAGTGGTCGATAGAAGATTGCTCGCTCCGATCGCTCTCGTCCTGTCGATCGCCGATCCGCTCCTCCGCCTCCGCCGCCCCTCTCGTCTGCTCTCAATCCTTTCGTGATCTCGAAAATTCGGTAGCCTGGATTATTATTATTCGAGATCGTTATTCTCGCCGGCGTATTTCGTGGCCTTGATCCAGTGGTACTGTTTCCCGTCTCAGCTGAGTGGGCCCCTCTGGCCCCTCGAGAAACGTCAAGCTGAAAATGTAAACAGTACGACAGCTCTGGCTCTCGGCGTGACGGCGGCAATTATCGCGCTGCTGAATATTCGTGATCGATCGAATATTTCGGCACGCGATATACGATTCCAGAATATTCTCTGTCCGATAGTGATCGAATTTTCGAGAACTATTCTGGCAATCGACGGAAAAGAAGATCGTTATCCTGATCAGGAGCGTATTCACCTGAGCGGTTGCGATAGTGACGTAGGCGATGCTCTCTCGTCCCACGGCATCCTCGGCTTCCCTCCTCTTCGCTGGTCGACCAGAAGGGGAGCCTGGGGGCACAAAACTCGGGGGCGCGATGACCTCTCTATCTGCTACACGAATTTTCCGAATCGTTTAACCGCCGGCGGACGCCGGCGTACGCGAAACAAAACGCGGGTTCGGTCGCGGCGGCGGAAATATTCGCGACGTTGGTTCGTATTTCTTTGTGACGGGCGCCTCCACGGCCGCCACGTCACAACTTTAAAGAAGAAAAAAATATTAGTAGGACGAGCTAAACATTTTACTTACCTTTGAAAGCCTGAACCACTATTGGAGGCATGCCTCATGAATATAACGTTTCACTTACAAAACTATTGTCACTTACATTCACTTCCGCCATCTTGATGTTACTCTCTCATATGCACTGTTGCCGGCGAACGCGAAATAAGTAAGCATCTAATGTAAGTGAAACCATTTTCAAATCTATAATTCTTAAGCCAAAAATAAATGGCTTCAAAATAATGTGATGGGGTTTGTTACAATCATATCATAACTTTGGACAAGAATTCTATCTTAAGAATAAAATATACTTCGCTCGAATCTAATTATTTTTGATGCAATTGAACATTTCTTATTAAAGAGGGCATTTCATACTTAATTGAAGGCAAGTAGTATTCAAGAATAAAAATATACGTGGGTTAAGAATTCCTTTTTTTGTGTGAAGCATAAATAGACTAAAATACATGGGTAACTTTGACATGTTGTAACTCCGCCAAAAAAATTCTTACAGGCTTAAATTTTATTAATTTGTACGAAAAAGTTTATATTTTACGATAATTTTTATAAAGTTTGCGACAAAAATTCGTTGCACTCCGTGGAGCGTGTCAAACTATGAAAATTTTTGGAAGTAAAACACGTTTTTACTTTAAGAAGAATGCCGAAAAGGGAAAAAGAGAAATTTAAAATCTGACGAATGTTCTTTAAAGTAGGAACTTCAAGCTTCAAAATAAAAAAAAAAAAAACTTTTAGATACGACAATTTTTTGTGGAATTATGGTTATTTGATTTTGAATGAAATTTGGATAAAAAATTTTGTTGCGCTAATTTTGTTGCGTACTATATAATTTACAATGTATAATGTTATTATATTTTATTAATCATATAATTAATATAATATTAAGAAAATATCTATATAAAACTTGCATGCACACAGGAAATAAATGTCTTATTACGGTACATATTTGTTACTAAGGTGGTGCTCATGGAAAAAATGTGTGATGCAAAGTGATTGATTGTACCAAAAACAAATAATTACACTGTTCGACAAAAATCGAATATTTTTTCGTGACATGAGTACGAATAGTCATTTCCGATGCATTTTTGTTGATGATCTGCTGAACATGAATCCGTCGCCCAAATTAGCCTATCATACTTTTGAGAAATATGATATCAAAAAGGCCAAAAAGCCGAGTGCGGAATTTTCTTACTTTATATCTTATTTCATTTTCTCAAAACTGTGACGTGATAGCTAAATTTAGACGACGGATTCGTGTTTAGCAGACAAAAATACAATGGAAATAACTATTTGCCTTCTTGCAAAAAAAGTTGTCTGCCCAATGATATTGATGTTTTCATTGGCTATATTTTGAAAATAAAAAACCGTTACGAGACGAGATGCATTTTCAAGCTAAAAGTTGATATTTTTGCGTGGCATTAACAAGATGTCGAACAAAATTTTATTGTTTGTGCTACAACACCATGAACACCCTCAAAATTGTCATTTTTGGCCTCTTTGACGCCATTTTTCTCAAAATTATGACATGATAGACAAATTTGAACGACTGATTTGTGTTCAGCAGGCAAG